AGAGAGAGAGAAAGAAAAAGCTGGACTGGTCTCAAACACATAGTGTGAGGGATATTCGTGATAGGTATGTCTTATTTGTGCGTGAGAGAGAGAGAGATCGTCACAGCAAGCACTTCACTCAATGGCCAGTATGTAGGCATAGCTTGAAATATGTTTTCAGGGCTGCTGCTTAACATGGTTTTTCTGTGCTGGGGGGAGATAAATAGGTTACCTCCGCAATACTGTAAGCTACAGGCATCCCCCCCCAACAAAGGCATTTTTGTTTGTTTTTAACTGTGCAGAAATGTTGGGGCATGTATCAGAGGTTATAGAACTGGGGCTTTAGTAAGGACTGCCAGCTCCACATACACAGCCAATATTGTGTGGGTTTTTCTCAACTCATTGGCATTCTCCTTTAAGTTATAATACCCAGTCACACATATAGCTCCATGGAAGGGCACCGTCAAAAAGCAATCCTCACTCAGCATGGTATGCATACATATGTTCTTCTTCCTCCTTACATTCCAGTTTATTCCAAGAGGGTTGACTGGAGCAATTCCTATAACGGGTTTACAAATAGTTTAAATTCACGGTTCCGAAGGTATATCCTGATCTCTAAAGGTTAGCACAGAATAATCTCCTGGTAAATCCTTCTCCATGGTAGCTGCATTCATTATAATGAGCAGCTCTTGCACGTTGATCCGTTCATTTCTGTGTGTTCTGTAGGAATGTGTCTCTCGTACACCAGTGGGGCACCTTAAAAAGCTAGGATTAAATTGTGAGCTGCCCCCCATTGGCTGTTTATGAAGCTGGATGGTGTTGATGATTACATTGTGCCTTGCCCTTCCTTAATTCTGTACCCCCTTGATCATGTCTTTAATTTCTTTTCATACCGCCTATACCAAAGATCTGCCTAGTGAAGTGTCCCTGCGTTGCCTTTGGCAGAGAGGACTGTATTGAACAAAAGCTTATGCCGGCATGAGATTTTGTCAGTCTTCAAAGTGATGCTCAACAACTTGTTTTTGTACGATGCTAAAGAAGGGAAGGTGTTCAGGCAGGGATCATTCCAGCTGTGTCCTGAATTACCTGGAGCACTGCTGTCAGACAGCAGCAAGACAGTCCTTGGTCCACTAATGTGGAGTACTCACGAGCTGCACATACTTGGTCCACTAATGTGGAGTACTCACGACTGTGCTAAAAGCTGCACACCAGATAACTGTTTTCATTCTCTGGAAAGGCGTTCCTGTTTCCTCCCTGTCATCGCTCCGCCCAGTCCCCCTCCCCGTTGCCTGTGCTATACAGAATGGCTTCTTGCGGTCAAACCTGTCTTAAATCCTACTTAAGAATGACGTCCTTCTGAACTAGTTTGTGTTAGTTTTCCTGGAGATGCATTGTGGGAGTGGTGGGCTTAAGCAGGGTAGCGTCTTGGCTATATAACCCGGCTTACCAGCGTCCAAATAAAACCTGCCCATTGTTTTCTCGGTGGACTCCTTGTGATTCATATCAAACTGCACTGTCTAAAAATGGTGCTGGATGTTGAAGATACTGCTTATTTATTACATAATGCTGTGAGTATTTCAATGGGAGAGGGAAGGCGGGTAGCTGAAAGGGATCATTCACGTGTAGTTTATGATTGGAAGATTTAAAGGCTGATTTAATCTGTAAGCACCTGTATACAGAAGCGCATTACTGCATTTGTATCGTACTGGCTTGGAACTGGAGGGACTCTTTTATTGTGGGCTGGCTTTGTGACTTGTTTGCTTTTTGACATCTCATTTCTGGTTAAGTGGTCCTGAAAGAGCTTCATATTTTAAGTTTCCTTACACGCAGCAAGGAAAATGGCTGATATTATAATGCCTCTGTATAGATCTATGGTTCAGCCTCATTTGGAATACTATGTGCAGTTCTGGTCAACATGTCTCAAGAAGGGCATTGCAGAGCTTGAAGTAGTACTGAGGGGGTGATTAGGGGATTGGAGTGGCCTTCCCTATGAGGAAAGGCTGAAGAGTCTTGGACTTTTCCATTTAGAAGGGGACGACTATAGGGGGGCATGATAGAGGTATATAAAATTATGCATGAGGTGGAGAGAGTTGGCTTTTTCTCCCCAAATGCTAGAACTTGAGGGCATCCAATGAAGCTGATGGGCAAGTAGGTTCAGGACAGACAAAAGGGAAATACTATTTTACACAGAGAGTGATTAAAATGTGGAATTTGCTGCCAGAGGATGTCGTGATGGCCACAGGAATAAACAGCTTTAAGAGGGGATTAGATAGCTTCATGGAGGATAAGTCTATCGGGCTACTAACTGAGAGGAACCTCCATGTTCAGGGGAACTAAACCTCTTAATCCCAGAGCCAGGAGGCAACATCAGGGGAAGGCCTTGGTCTCTATGCCCTTTTGTTGGCCATCCAAAAGAACTGGTTGGCCACTGCATGAGACAGGATGCAGGACTAGGCGGACCACTAGTCTGACCCAGCAGGGCTCTACTTATGTTTTTAATTGTTTTGTGCAAACATTTGTTTGGATCCAAGCTACATTTTCTAGTGGCAGAATGGAACTTCCCTGCCTCCCTCCTTCCACTGATATCCACAAAACGCTGCTCCTGGGAGACAGTGGAGCTTCAGGAATGAGAGGGGGTCTCCAGTGCGAAGGGGGATCAGTGGAAATTGCCAAATTAGTCTGTATCCAACCCATTGTATAGTACTGTACAATACCTTTAAGTGATCTTATTTGATCTCTCTAAGTGCTGATGGGTTTGACTTGTTGAGCAGCATTCTCATAACCAGCTCTTTGACTTTCGATCTCACATTGTTTCAGACCAAGTTGTAGGTTTCAAGGTATTGGAAGGTGAGCATTCATGGCAATGCTGTAATTTTGTAGAAGAAGGTCTGACATGTATCAATGGATTTATTTATTTATCTATTTGATAGAATAGATTCCTAGCAGTTAGCCATACATTTGTGAAGGATTGTGAGACTTGTATGTGCACTCCAGTCCCTTTTACCTTCTCTGTCCATTGGCTTTCAAATGTTATTTCATAGATTAATCTCACAAGAAGGTAACAATCCAAACAATATTTCTCTACATTTATATCTCCTAATTTCTGACAATCATTTTTAAGTTTTTGTGTTTTTGAGTCTCAAAGTAGAAGACTCACTGACTGTGGACTCTAGAATTCAAAAGTAAATCTCAAACCCGCTTAACATTGAGAGCCATGGTAGTGTGTCTCTGACTCCTGAAGTAGACCTGCATAATGGACAAGGATTTATTCATTACATTTGCCCTACCTTCTCTAGGAAGTTCAAGGTGATACACCCATTGTTTGCTGATGGCCTCCCCAATCCTGCTTTGACATGGTTGCTAAATCATATGCTGTGGGTCTAAAATAGAACTAGATATATAGAGCTTTTTGCAATACTTTTTAACAGACTGTTAACCTTGTAAAATGTAGAGAGCAGACACCTGTTTGAATCTCTTTGTTCAGTATTACCATTCTGGACTCTTCTGTGTGCCAATGTGTACACTGAAATCAGGCAGAAAGCCCTGCCATGATGTTTCCTTGCTTTTGTTGAAGAGTTCTGCAACACTGGAAGCCCCCATTTATAGTGGTAAAAGGCAGGATTTTACTGCTGGATGTAACAAAACTAGTAAATAGGTTCCAGAACAATCTTAAGAGGTTTTGATGTATCAGGTAATTTTTATTTATTTATTCATGCGGCTTTTGTACCGCCCTCCCCATGAGCGTCAGGACGCAAGTGGGTACTTGAATTCTTTGTTGGAGGTAGAAAACTTTGCGTGTTTCTTTCTCTGGCAGGTAAGAGGAAGGGTAAACAAGCAAAAACCCCTAATAATCCTTCTCTCCTGCAGGAACAAGATGTTGAAACAGTGCATGGTTCTGTCCATGTCACTATGTGTGGGACTCCCAGAGGGAACAGGCCTGCAATTCTGACATACCATGATATTGGACTTAATCGTAAGTGTGACAGCTGGTTGTGTCTTGGCCCTTCTCTAATGATTTAATACACATGATTTTATATCCATGAAGCGCTGCTTGTTACAACTTCATCTGCTTTGCATCCTGCAACCTAATCTAGTGCAAACAACACATGTGCTTAAGTAAGCAAACCCCTGGATGAGTAGAATTCGCTTAGCTGCCATGCCATGAATAAGAATTATGTGCTGCAGCAAGCCAAGCAAGAGAAGTATTATTTCACACAATGTACAATTGACCTGTGGAACTTACAGCCCTGAGATGTAGAAATGGCTTCTGACTTAGACTACTTTAAAAGGAGTAGACAGACGTATCTAGGGTCACTCTGTTGTTGGCTTTCAGCCACAACAGCGGAATGGGGTCTTCACGTTCAGAGAGAGAATGCCTCTGGCTTTCAGATGCTGGGGAACAGTCAGAAGGTGAAGTCTGTGGGTTCTTCTTGTGATCTACACTAAACTTCTGGATCTCAGAGCCAGGAGGCAACATGGGGGAAGGCCTCAGACTCTGTGGCCTGTCGTTGTCCTTCCAGAGGTACTGGGTGGCTGCTTTGTGAGACAAGATGCTGGTCTAGATGGACCATTGGTCTGATCCAGCAGGGCTTTTCTTACCCTGTAGCATGACTGGATGCTCTTGGAAACAGGATCCTGGACTATATGGATCACTGGTTTTAATCCAGCATAGCTCCTCTGAGCTCCAGTTTATCTAGTTTGAGTGGTAAGCCCTTATGGGAAGGGTAGAGAAAACAGTGGTGGTGTAACATTTACATTATCAACAGTAGCATAACATTTAAAAGAATGTGTAGAAGAATCCAGATTTTTAATGGAAAAATCTTCATTTGGAATACAGATTTGGGAACTGGAACATATTGCTTAAGTATAGCGTAGAATACATGCTTCACACATTTTTCTTAAGTCAATTTTGTAGGCATAGCCTGTGAACATATAAAAAGGGCCCCTTTGTTAAAGGCATCTTTGGCACTTTGGGTTTCTTAGCTTAAGTCACATACTGACTGGAAATGAGAGAGGCTTTAAGATAATCAGTGTCTTTTGCCACAATGAGAACTTGCTTTAAGGTTCCTGGAAGAGCTTGCTTCCTTTAGTCTATCCTGGATCTACTGCCCATTGGTTTCCTAGTGTGACCCCGAGGTTTAGTACTCTTGGGGAGGGAGAAAAGTTTCAGTATGCCATGCATACTTTTTCAGGCCTCCGTCACATGACTCTCAGCTGCCTTTTTAACTAAAAGACACTTGAGATAATTGGAACATTTGTTTAATTTATTTTGGGTGAAGTGGGTGGAAGTAAGGGGAAGGGAAGTTTAACACTATATGTATAACTGGGGGGTTCAAATTAAAATAAAATAGGTGTTCATCAGGAGTTCTGTCTTAATAGGTCTCCTGAGCATGTGAAATATATTCAGGCTTGGCGATTGTCGGACACTACCCATTCCCCTCTTCAGTTGTAATCCATAAGACCAACTCTTTTTTTATGCTTTATTTTTAAAGTTTTCCAGTCATCCAAATACCTCTGTGGACTATATTCAAGGTTCACAGGAAAGCATTTTGAAACCTGCTCCACAGTCTATTGAATTCGTTTCCCTTAGTTTTATCCAAATAGAGTCTTCATCAGAAAACTGAACCCAGGTTAACATGTGCCTCTGTAGCCTCTTGCCTAGTGTGTATCTGATTTATCTGTTTGGAAAGTTAACAAAATGAAATGCTACTTTAAAAATAGAATTGAAATACAGAGGCAAGGACTATATGAGAATACATGTTTTTGATTTTGTGGTGTGGAAACAGAAGCTCACGGGAGGATTTCTCTTAAAAGGTCTCTCTTTACTTGGTGGTTGTGTATGAAGCAAACTGGTATGATTGCCTGAACCAGGACCTGTCTGTATAAGGAAGCTCACTGTTTGCAGGATCCCTGAGAGATCTGTCCAAAGTGACTGCACTAAGTGTCATGTGCACTTTCCTGCAAAGTAAACTCTTACGTGCTGCTTCAGATGTACTTAATGTTCTCACTCCCCAGCTGTGCAGGATCAGTGTTCATTCTTCATACTCACATAGACATTAACTGTCTTGTCCTCCTCTCCTAAAGATAAAACATGCTTCAACCCGCTCTTCAACTTCGAAGATATGCAAGAGATCACACAGCACTTTGCCGTCTGCCATGTGGATGCCCCTGGACAGCATGATGGGGCGGCCTCTTTCCCCCCTGGGTAAGTTGGTTCTGTATGTATTACTTAGAAGCAAACTTGCCAAGTGGCGCGACATGTTAGTGTTAAGTATTACCAGGGTCAAAAACAAAAGGGGAAAAGAACACAATGCCCCCCAAAATCAGATCAAATAGCCAAAATGGTTAAGTAAACAAGCCTTAAAAATGTTTTTCGTTTGAGTGTGTGTTTTTTTAGGCTCGTGTTAAATATTATGACATTAATAATATGTATAATGGGAGCTGGAGTCCTTGGAAATGAGGCAAAGACCAATGCTAGGGAGACGCATGCTCCTTCATGACTTCTCCTAGCTTACTTTCTCTGTCTTATGGAGCCAGAGGGTCAAGAGACATCCATCTGCAAGTGAACGGGCATACGCCCTTGTCCTTTTTCTTCCCATAACTTGAACCTCCCCTGTGAGTGTCACTTTATTTGGGGACTTCCGAATTGTGACAGTCTCAGACTTGACTTGCATTAGGGTCTCCTCATACATGTCCTATGATGACAAGATTCCCATGCCCACTGGGCAAAGAGCTATGGCAGTTCTAGCTTCCTGCCACCTGTACACACAAAAATATTTTCTTCACTAATGGTACACTCTCTCCTCAGCGCTTAAGCATGTGTCTGGCACAATAAAAAAGGGTACCCCATTATAGGAAAGTGATTTGGCTTTTACAAGGCTAGCAGGAGTGTCGGAGTGTGGCTTCTGTTGCATATGCAGACTTTGGAAGGGGCAGCTTAAGTATCTGTTGGCCTAACCTCTAGTAACACCATGCATACACTTCCAGATAATTTGTAAGTGTTGTATCTGTCTGCTTTGGCCACTTACAGAAAGAAGCTTGGTAGTCTTAATTAACTACCTTCGTGGGATGATTTTACCTTTATGAGGCATTTACAGCTGAAGTGGGGAATGGAAAAAAATTGAAAGCTCTCTAGCCTGAACAACAAGATAACGGGGGGGGGGAACCCTTTGTTTTTAAAAGATCTGTTTCCTTCTGTACTGGAGGAGCAATGACCTCCACACCGCGTGACACATGATTCAAATTACCTGCAAGTGTGTACATGGAGAATGTTTCATTTGGTAATGCCCTAAGTGGTCAGGCATAGTCTGCACCAAACTGGTTCAAACTGTTTTGTGCATCAGACTGATTATCTACGAGATGTCACAAATGCCAGTTTGTACATAAGTTGTGTCTGCTTTTTCTGTTTTGCCTCCTATCACTGAAGACATCCTTCCTATTCTGCTGTCTCTGTGCCCAGCAATTAGAGCCAATTGCCACATTAGGCAAATTCTGCAGAATATGGGGAGCAGAAGTTTCTTGAACGAAGTGTGACTAGGAAACGAAGCTCTAGTTGAAAATCCCAGTTTGGTCCCAGCTGCACTGTCTGCATTCAGATATCACAACTGGAGTTTGATCAAATCATGGCACTGGAATGCAGCCATAGGCTCAGTTTGGGCTGCCTAGCACTGCTGTTCTCAGTAGCATGCAAACTTGAATGAGATTGTTAGTGAAATTTAGTTCATTATTAGAATGTGGCATAAAGATCCTAGATCCTCACATAGTTTGGATTGAGTATGAGACAGATTATGTCCTTAATTAGTTTTCTACATTTCTGTCCCTTCTCTCACCCTTGCCCCAAATCTGCTAATTAACGCCCCTGAACTTTAGGAAACCATTTTCATGGCCACATTGTGACAATTGTCTTATCTCTCTTCTAAGCTGTAGAAGCATTGTTTCCCTTTTTTGCCCTTCCCAAGAATCTGAAGTGTTCTGTAGACAGGGGTTGGAGTAAGTTACAACTAGGGAACAGGATTTAGTCACTGAAGCCTGTTTTTTGTATTTTCCTATAAAGGATGGACTCCATGGCTGTTGAGGATGCCAGTTAGTTGGTGAATTGGCTGGTATCAGAATAAATTCATTCTTGAGTAAAACTGCCAACTTTGCAAGCAGATAGGCCTTGGAGTGAATTTTTTCTCTCTCAGGTAGACCTCTGTAAGGAGGGGTTTTTTCCATTAGGTTCAAAGGGAAAATCCCTATCAGAGAGGTTTGGGCCCTTACTGTTGCTCCTTTAAGGATTGTAGTCCTTTCTTTAAGACATTAGAACATGGCTAGGTCGTGATGCTGTATTTATTGTTATTACAGATATATGTACCCTTCCATGGACCAACTTGCTGAAATGCTTCCTGGAATCCTGAAGCAGTTTGGGTGAGTAAAGTCATTTGCTAACAGTTAAGTCACTTGCATTTTTTCCAATTTAAGTAGTTTCCTGTTGCACAACCAAATACCCCCCCAACCCCCAACTAACACCTTTAGGGCTGCTGTCAGGTTTTGGCACGTTTGATTCTTTGGGGACTTTTGGTAGTGGTGGCCACTTTGGCATTCACTCTGCATTGTAGTGTAGATCTATAGGGATCTCATTAGTTAAGTGCAGCTACCACTATGTAATTGAGGGAGATAACTCAGTTGTCTAAATACAGGTGACAGCTGACATATTACAACTGCTTTGCTTACCGAATGTATTTTCATTCCCTTACACTGTTTTGCACTTGACTGATAATTGTTATTGCTTCTCCCATACCTTTAGATTATATTTGCCCTAGTGGGGCCACAGTGCTGGGTGCAAGATTTAACTGTTGAGTAGGAAATTACTGTTGCATCCTCTAGTTTGCAGGTTTTTGGACTTGCAGGTTTTTGGACTGCTAAGGATATAAACACTTGAACTGATAACCTGGAATTTGTTTAGGTCTACCACTTGGCTAATCTAAATTGTCAGTAGGGCTTCACCATTCTCTGTTTGAAAAGTGACAACCTCTGCTTCAAAAGAATTCTGTAAGAATGAGGACCCCGTTCTAGATTAGTGTTGTTTTTAGGGTTTTTGATTATGCATTACAAGTGAAAGATATGGCAAGTTGAGTTTTTGATAGCCAAGTGTTACCCCACCATTGAGTGCTTAGGAAATGACAATTTAGTGTCCCACTTCTTTGTGGTCATTCATTGGGGCGAAAACTAAGCCGATGAAACATAATATAACCAGTTTTACTTGCAAGAGGTTAGATGGGTAGGTTTATAAGCAACACATCAGACATGTCCAAGGCAACGTTTTGGGCATGGGGAGTTCAGCTTAGCTGAGTATCACACCAACCCATAAGCCTACCAACATAAACTATCTACACCAAGTGTATCTCCTGCTTAGTCAGCCTTGATCCTTCTGACAGTCTTATTCAATGGTTTGCAGCCTGACTCTTTTGGAGGGGTGATGGGAAGAGAATGATCAGGTTTGATATGCGAACCGCCAATGTTATTGCACATGCTAAGAGCAGAACCAGGACGGGACATTACTTTATAGGCTTTTGTCCCTGGCTGTTAAAGATCATGTTGCTCTGAGGCTTGTTATGGAGGGGTGGACAGAGACCCTATTGGATTCTAACTCATCTGCTCAGCTTCCAGTAAGCCACAGACTAATACTAAGTGCAATTTACTATGAAACAGGTAGGACAGGAAACAGCTGTTTGAAACTAGAACGTGGTCTAGAGCTCCTTTACTGAGTTTCACTTTATTGTTTACAGACTGAAAAGTGTGATCGGAATGGGAACTGGAGCTGGTGCCTACATATTAACCAGATTTGCTGTAAGTGTTGTGGGACTTTGCTGAAGTCTTGGCCGCTGTGTTGTGCAAACATGGCCTCTGTGGTCCCCCACCCTTCCTCCACTGCAGCTTGTAGAATGCCGAATGCTAACTGGCTAGCGTGGTTCAAAGCCCGTGGCTTCCTCTTCTGAGTATGTATGTATGAAAAGCTGTGTGGCTCAAATGCACAGTTGAAAGTGCCATACCAAAGTGACAATTCATTACAATCCTTCTTATTCCCCCTCCTATTAAAGCAGGCAACTGTTCATCTGTTTCACATGGCACTATGGCTCTGCTGACCCATTGCTGGCATTCCTTAGTGTGGCCTTTATATTTCCATTTAGTCATAGAATCACAGAGCTGGAAGGGAGCTCCAGGGTCATCTAGTCCAACTCCCTGCACAATGCAGGGAATTCACAAACACTTCCCCCACACACACACAGCAAGTGACCCCTGTTCCATGCCCAGAAGATGACAAA